CCACAAACAGCCAAGAGCCCCGCCACGCTCTCCTACAAGGACGCAGGGTGGGCACGGGGGGGCCCCCGGAGAGGAGGGGTACTCACGCCTGGCAAGGGCCCCGGCCAGCAAGGGGATGTGGTGCCCCCGGCTTCCCGTCCGAGCGTGCAGGTAGTCCCGGAGCTGGTCGTAGGTGGTGAAATAAATGACGGTGGCTGGCACAGCCATGACCCTGCCGAGGAGGAGGGGTGTGAGGGGCATGCGTGCCCTCCCTGGGGGCTGGCAGGAGGCTTGGGGTGGATGCCCATGCACCCGGGCAGACGTTTGCACCCAGACTCCTCCCCAGGCAGGGTCCAAACTCACAGGGTGGGGGGCAAGCCGCTCCACAGAGACCTGACGCCCTCGTAGCGCGTGATCTTCACGAAGGCATCCTGGGGAGAGAGTGTAGCACAAGGAGAAGGGTTAGAGGGGGAAGAGGGGCAAGCACCCCCCCAGCAAACACCCTGACCCCCTCCCTGGGACAGGGAGACCCCTGCCCACCCTGCCTGCACCTGCAGCCCCTACCAGCGTGCCGGTGAAGTGGGTGGGGGCCTTGTACCAGGCGGTGCAGCCGATGCCATTCTGGCAGACGTACAGATGGTCCATGAGCCCATTGCAGTAGAGGAAACACTTCCCTGGGGTGGGAGGCAACAGCATCGCCGTTAGACAGGGGACCCTTCCCCTCTGCCCTGTGTCCAGCCCATTTGATCCCTAAAGCCATCATCTCTCCCAGGTGAGAACCAAACCCTGAATGCCTGAGTCCAGTGGGGACCAGCCCCAGACCAAGGCCAGGAGAGGGATAATCCTCCAGCAAGGATCCGACCACGGCCAGACCCACAGGGGTCTGGGGCACGGTAGGAGCCATCGCTGGCAGCAGGAGAGGTTTACGCCTCGTCCGGCATCAGCTCTGCTGCCCCGGCATGGTGGGGGTACCATCACAGGGAGCCAGCATCGTTCCCCTATCACGCCCTCCATGGAGCCAGGGACGCAGGGATGCCAGGCTGCAGGGAGCAAGTGGGGCAGCGGAGATCCAAGGGGACTTTGATGTAGCAACAGGACAGGGCTACAAAACAGGGCAAGGACAGGGGGACTGCAGACAGCCAGGCCTGTTGCACAACAGACCCCCAGCAGACCCAGGCAAGGACCCAGCGGGGACAGCCCCGAAGCAGGGCTGCAGGAGCAGCTGCAGGGCTGGGGACGATCGCAGCCCCCAGACCAGAGCAGGATGTCCTCCCAGCCAGAGGAGCCTGAGCCACCACCAGCAGGGAAGAAAACCAGGATCAAGGCTTGGGAAAGCAACGCTGCT